GACTAATTAACACTATGGTGCTCACATGGTAGTAATATTCTCCAAGGATGAGGAATTGGGGGGATACACTCACAACTAAAGGACATGGTGAGTGTTGTAGAGGGGAAGGGCATGCCTATAACCCCCTCTAGGGAGAGGCAAAGATATAAAATGTAACCAAAATGTTTGTAACCTCATAATACCCTGAAATAAAAAACATATACACACACACATTTTGTTTTTGGTCTCCTTCCCAATTTCTTCTGCCTTTGCTCTGAATGCAAATATTGGGGCATTTTGTGAAGTTCTTTAGAGGATATTAAATTTTAAAACTTTAAAAACAGGTCTAGGCCGGGCGTGGTGGCTCACACCTGTAATCCTAGCACTCTGGAAGGCTGAGGCAGGAGGATCGCTCAAAGCCAGGAGTTCAAAACCAGCCTGAGCAAGAGTGAGCCCCTGTCTCTACTAAAAATAGAAAGATATTAATGGGCCAACTAAAAATATATATAGAAAAAATTAGCCGGGCATGGTGGCGCATGCCTGTAGTCCCAGCTACCCGGGAGGCTGAGGCAGGAAGATCACTCGAGCCCAGGAGTTTGAGGTTGCTGTGAGCTAGGCTGACGCCACAGCTCTCTAGCCAGGGCAACAGAGTGAGACTCTGTCTCAAAAAAACAAAAAACAAACAAAAAAAACCAGATCTATACACAGCCTAATAAAAACATCAACTGTCTCTAAAAAGAAAAATAGAATCCATTCTTCACAATATTCTGAGCGAAAAAACAAAAGCAAAAATTTTAAAATGAATCCAGAATCCTAGTGATGGCTAGAACAAGGTCAGAACACAAAAGTGGAAATGCTCAAAAAATGTTCTTTTTTTTTTTTGAGACAGAGTCTCACTTTGTTGCCCAGGCTAGAGTGAGTGCCTTTTAACCAGTGATAATTAAGTCTGACATTCTGGGTGTATTTCTTTACTGTCCTTTTCCTGAGAATATTTTTATGCGGTTGAAGTGTGTGTATGTGTGTGTGTGTGTGTGTGTGTGTGTGTGTTTGAATCCTAACTGCTTCCCCCTTGAATATTAAAACATATGAATAAAACAGCCGGGTGCGCAAAAAACAAAAAACAAAAAAAAAAGGAATTTGTACAGTGTGGGGTTTCCAAAAGAGATTAGCACACGCATCTGAGTGGACTAAGTGGGGAAGATTCACCTTCAATATGGGTGGCCACCATCCTATCAGCTTGCAGCCTGGATAGAACAAAAATAGAGAAAAGGCTAACTGCCTGTCTCTCTGGGAACTGGAATACACTTTCTTCTCCTGCCTTGGACATCAAAACTCCAAGCTCTCTGGCCTTTGGACTCCAAAACGTACACCAGCAGCCCTCTGAGTTCTCAGGCTTCTATCTCTCTGGAGAACCCTGAGTGATACATGTAATTTGCAAGGACATCCCCCTGGTTATTAACTTTAATTTTCCTGGGATTCTGCTCTAGCAAATGCTGTGGTATCCACCTATATGTGTTTTTAGAGTGGGCTATATTTTCATTATAATGTCCTAAAAAATTACTCTCTTCCCCCTCTCTATGTTATGCTTTGTGAATCATAGAACAGGTTCTTTGTGCTCAGAAACAGCTATTCTGTTGTATTGGTCAGTCTGTTCACTCCTGTTCCAGTACCTCACTGCTGTTACACTGTTGTTTTGCATAATATGTGGCTCAAAATCTTGGAGGGTAAGTCATGTACCTTTGTTCTTCTCTTTCAAAATTAGCATAATTATCAGCAAACCTAAATTGTTCCATATAAACTTGTAACTTTGTATAAATGTTGAAATTTCTATGGAGAAGAGTGTAGAGAATATTTGTGTCTATTTCAAAGAATTATTATAAAGAGAATACCTATTTAACCGCCATCCAAATTACAAAATGTAATGTACTGGTAACTAAGAAGATGCCTATATGCCCCTCCAGAAGAAAATTCCTTCCTGCCTTTCTATGAGTAACCATTAACTAGACGTTTGTAATAATTAATTTTAGGCATTTCAATTTTTGGCTTAGGGATCTTTTATTTCAGGTAAAATTTACACATAGTGAAATATAAACAATGTAAGTGCAAAATTCAATGCATTTGGATAAATACATATACCAGTGTTATAATCCCATTGACATACAGACCAGTTCCATAGCACCAGAAAATTCTTTTGTGCTTATTCCTAAGTTAGTGTTGGCCCCTAGCCCTCCCCTCTCCATTACTATAGATGCTTTAGATTTGTCATGTATTTATTTACTTATTTATTTTTGATACGTAATTTTTGTACAATTTATGAGGTGCATGGGATATTTGGTTACATGCATAGACTGTGTAATGATTAAGTGGGGATATTTAGTGTGTCCATCACCTGGAGTATTTATTATTTCTGTGTGTTGGGGATATTTCAAGTATATTCCTCTAGCTATTTCTCAATATACAGCACATTGTTGTTAACTATGGTCACCCTTCTCTGCTATCACCCGTTGGAACTTATTCCTTCTATGTAACTGTATGTTTGTACCCATTAACTAACCTGTCTTTATCTCCCCCTGCTCCACCCACACACACTTCCCATCCTCTGGTGTCTGTTACTCTACTCTCTACCTCCATGAGATCAACATTTTTGGATTCTACATATGAGTGAGAACATGCCATGTGTCTCTTTCACTATGTGGCTTATTTTACTTAACACAATAATCTCCAGTTCCATCCATGCTACAAATGACATGACTTCATTCTTTTTTATGACCAATAGCATTCCATTGTATACATATGCCACATTTCCTTTATCCATTCATGTGTTGATGGACACTTAGGTTAATTACATGGGCTGATTCCATACCTTGGTTTGCGAATAATGCTGCAATAATCATGGGAATATTGATATCCCTTTGATGTACTGATTTCCTTTTCTTAGGATAAATACCCAGTAGAGAGATTGCTGGATTATATGGGAGTTCTATTTTTAGTTTATTTGAGAAATCTCTATACTTTTTCCCATAGTGGCTATACTAATTTACATTCCCACCAACAGTGTATGAGCATACCTTTTTTCCTACATCCTGCCAACATCTGCTATTTTTGTCTTTTTAATAATAGCTATTCTAACTGTGGTGAAATGATACATTGTTATGATTTTAATATTCTTTTTCCTGACGGTTAACAGTGGTGAGCATTTCTTCATATACCTGTTGGCCATTTGTATGTCTTCTTTTGAGAACTATGTATTCATATCCTTTTCACACCTTGTAATGTTTTGTTTTGTTTTGTTGTTATTGAGTTGTTTGAGTTTCTTATATATTGTGGATATTAGTCCTTTGTCAGATGAATAGTTTGGAAATATTTTCTCCCATTCAACAGGTTAGTCTGTTCAGATTTTCTATTTCATCCTGATTCAATATTGGTAGGTGGTATGTTTTCAGGAATTTATTCATTTCCTCTTGGTTTTTAAATTTGTTAGTGTATAGTTGTTCAGAATAGTCTGATGATCATTGTATTTCTGTGGACACAGTTGTAATGTTTTCTTTTTCATTTCTGATTTTGTTTATTTGAGTCTTCTTTTCTTGGTTAAGCTAACTAGCAGTTTATTTATTTTGTTTATGCTTTCAAAAAACCAACTTTGTTTTGTTGAGTCTTTGTACTTTTTGTTTTTTTAGTCTACTTTGTTTAATTATGCTCTGATCTTTATTATTTCTTCTGCTATTTTGGTTGGTTTGTTCTTGCTTTTTTAGTTTCTTGATGTGAATTATTTGGTTGTTTACTTGACATCTTTCTTCTTTTTTAATATAGGTGTTTATTGTTATAAGTTTCACTCTCATCAATATTTTTGCTTTATCCTCTTGGTTTAGGTATGTTGTATATTGATTTTCATTTGTTTTAAGGAATTTTTTATTTCCTCCTTAATTTCCTCCTTGACCTAATGGCCATTCAAGAGTTTGTTGTTTAATTTCCAATTTAATAGTGAGTACATGTGGTGTTTGTTTTTTAATTTAAATAATTCAATAAGAATTTATTGAATTCTTCATTTCCAGAATATCTTTTTGGTTCTTTTTTTAAGATCTCTATCTCTTTGGTAAATTTCTCATTTATACTCTAAATTATTTTCTGATTTCATTGTGTTTTTTTTTATTCTTTTGTATTTCCCTCTGCTTTGTAAACGTGATTATTTTAAATTCTCCTTTTAATGTTTCATAAGGTTTTGTTATTGGAATCTGTTGCTGGAGCACTATTGTGTTTTTCTGGAGGTGTCATGTTTCTTTGCTTTCTCATGTTTCTCATGGGCCTATGTTGATGTCTGCATATATGGTGTAGCAGTTGTTTTTTCCAGTTTTTTGAATTTGCTTTCATAGATGAGGAATTTTTTCTGAATATATATTTATGGTATTAGTTGAATAGGGGATTGTGCTTTTGAGTCTGGGTACATGCAATAGTGCAGTCTCCATATGATTTCTTCTACTATAAACAATGTCAGTGGTGTCTGTGATTTCTTCGGTGGCCTGTAGCGTGGTTGTTAGTGGAGGCTGCAGTAAAGTTTTTCTGGAGACAGAGACACTGGGTCAGCCTGTCTGTGGGCCTCAGTGGTGGTAGTGGTAGGCGGAGTATGCCTGTCCTTGGGCTTCAGAGTAGTGTACACTGACAGTGGTGTTAGCCAGTTCAGGTAGGCTGATTCTTGGGCCTCCAGGTGACTTGTTTAGGTACTGGTAGAGGCAGGAGTGGGCCAGGAAGGTAGGTGGGATTTGGAGCCCCTGGGCAGCAGTTGTGTTTTGGTGATGGGAGGAGAGTAGCAGGACCAACTTGTAGCTCCTGGGCAGTCTGTACTGATGTTGGCAGTGGCTATAAAGGGACTGAGATGGCCATTCCTCAGGCCTTTAGGTGGCTTGTGTGGGTGGCTACAATGTGTAGTGGGAGTCACAGGTTGGGTGGGCCTGACCTCAGGCCCCCAGGAAGAGTGCTCAGGTGCCAATGGTAGTGTCCTGGGCTGGATCGTCCCCAGGCTCTGAGATATCTGATGGGACACTGGGGGGAGCAGATCTGAGACAAGCAGACCTGTCCTCAGGCCTGCTGGTGGTGCATTAAGGCACTAGTGGTGGTAGGAAGGGGCAGAGTCACATCCAGGCCCAAGGCAGAATGGCTGGGTGAGGGCCAGTAGCAGCTGGACTGCAGCTGGTGGGGAGGGCAGAGTTGCTTTCAGTGGCAACAGCCATATGTAGGTGGCTGAGGAGCATGTACTTCACTTGAACTTTAGCCCAGGTGGTAGCCGTATCTCCTGCAAACAGGGAAGTTTGTCAATGTGGCATGTGACACAGCATATTGCTACTGCAGGGAGTGTGACCTTTGTCAATGCCTTCATCTCTGGCAGTAGCAGCCAGACGTAATGGTAGCTATAGATGGGGAGTGTCAGTGGGGCCCCAGGGATGTGGAGATGCAGGGGCTGTTGGGACCCCAGGTAGAACTCCGTCTGGTGGGATCTGGGCTGTTAATATGGCACCTTGCTGTAGCTGCTTAGGGCCAGGGGGTGTGGGACCCAGTGTTAGCTCCTACTCTGAAGTAATGCCTTTTCACAGTCTCCAGGTAGCTCCCAATGTTAGTCTCAGGGCCCGTGAGTGTCTAGGGGCTTTGCCATAGCTCAGCTACAGGAGTTCATGATGGGAATATAGACCACTTAGTGTCACACTCACTTAGCATTTTTCTACATTGTGAAGCCTCTCCAGGCTCCCAGCCAGTCCTGGCTGAGTAGGCTGCCTCACTTCCCCTCTTTCCTCGCTTTGGTTGTTTTCTATAACTTCTTTGTTGAATTCCAGTGTTCTCCTTTAAATGATCTATTCAAAGTGTGATTATCTACTTGCTATTTTGATTCTTCTTGGTGGAAGAGGTGAATGCTAGATACCTCTAGTAAGATATCTTGCAGTTCTTCCTAGATTTTTTACACTAGGAATTAATTTTGCTTTTTTTAGAGTATTATATGTACTGAAATTATAGACTATGTGTTCTTTTTCTGGATGTGACATCTTTTTTTCAACACAATGTATGTGAGATGCATGCATGTTTTTGTTTGTATCAGCACTTTAATCCTTTTTGTTGAATAATATTACATAGTATGGATGGAAATTGTTTATCCATTTTACTGGATATATATTATTTCTGGACATTTGGCTTGTTTCTAGTTTGGGTTTTGTAAATACAGCTGGTATGTGAACACACACAAAAGACACTTTGTGGACATAAAATTTCATCTTAATTTGATAACATTTGGTGGTGCTGGGTCTAAAGGCAGATATATTTTTAACTTTATAACAAAATTCCAAATGTCGTCCAAAGCTGTAATCGTCTCAATAGATGCAGAAAAAGCATTTCATAAAATTCAATTTCCCCTGAAATTAAAAACTCTCAGCAAGCTAGCATATAAGAAATATATCCCAGCAGGGCACAGTGGCTCACACCTGTAATCCTAGCACTCTGGGAGGCTGAGGTGGACAGATCATTTGAGCTCAGGAGTTCGCCAAGACCAGCTTGAGCAAGAGTGAGACCCCATCTCTACTAAAAATAGAAAGAAATTAGCTGTACAACTAAAAATTTATATAGAAAAAATTAGCCGGGCATGGTGGCCCATGCCTGTAGTCCCAGCTACTTGGGAGGCTAAGGCAAGAGGATTGCTTGAGCCCAGGAGTTTGAGGTTACTGTGAGCTAGGCTGACACCATGCCACTCTACCCGGGCAACAGAGTGAGACTCTGTCTCCAAAGAAAACCACAAAAAAACCAAAAAAGAAATATATTTCAACATTATAAAGGCCACATAGGAAAACCCCACATTTAACATCATACTGAATGGGAAAAAACTGAAAGCTTTTCCTCTAACAGCTGGCCCTATACTTTTGTTCTTCACCATACCCAGATATGTCCCATTTAAGCAGGAAGTAACAAGATAGAATGACAACCTAATTCCCCAAGATTAAGAAATGAACAATTAGAGGAGAGTGTAATCAGCCTTGCAAAATGTCTCTCTTCCTATGTTCTTCCTAAATTCAAAATAACTTAAGATCACTTAACAGATCACAAGACCAGGCTGGCTTGGTTCTTCATTCAGACTCAGAGGGGGCAAGTCTTACCTGAGTATAGTGAATGCACAGTTTTATCCTGCTTGCTCGACTGATGAAGGGGTACGTGCTCAGGAGCACCTCAAAGGGACCAACCCATTGTGATTTCTGCTGATCTTTGGGGTGTTGGTTCCTCCAAGTTGTAAGTAGCACTTGGTCTCCTGGCTTCTGTGAATGGAGGGGCACACTTGTTGGGAATGGGAGCCTGTTGGAAGCAAATCTAGAGATACTAGTTAGCATGTCACCTGGCTCATATGAATGAGCCTCCATTTCTGGAGGCAGAAAAGTCTTAGACAATGCCTGATGAGAGAGAGGCCCACTGGCATGGTTTCCCGCATAGAATTTCAAAGGGGCTAATTGATCCCTTGCTTCTGGGGGCCACCTCAACAGAGCAAGGGACAGTACTTTATCCCAGGTTAAGCTGGTTCCTAGGTTTACACTCTTAACATGGATTTAAAAAATCTAGTAATATTTTATTAAAATCTGAAATATCTGAGCTGGCCTCCCAGTGACTGAGAGGGGCCCACAGCAAAAAGAGCTGCTCTGATTTCACAATCTGCAGCCCAAACCAGCTGAAGAGCACCCGTCCCAGGTGCAGCCTGGAATTTATACTAAATCCTAATTACTTTATTTTGTACCCAAGAGCCAGTTCAATTTTCTCCGTGTTCCATATATAGCATTGGTGAAGTTTTGCTATGTTCTTCCTCATCTGTTACTGAAGCATTAGCATTTCCGCCCCGCTTGGTGTAAGTTCCTCTTTTAGTTTTTCTCCCTATGAGTATGTTTTGTAGGACTCTTCTGTTTTTTCTCAACTTCGCCCCCAACACATGCATCCCACAACATTATCTCCCCATCATTCTCTCCAGTAAACAGCAAATAGGAGTCTAACAAAAAGTAGACCTGGGATATCTGTAATGCGTGGCCCTTAGATCCTGAACAAACTGGTTTTCCTGGGTTCCACATTTTTGAACACTAGGCAGACAGTGAGTTCAGAGAAAAAAAAGCCCAAAATGTCCTCTGTGCCCAAAATGTCCTCTAGGAGAGGTCCTCCATGGGCATGGTTGGGTGGAGATCTTAGTGTAAGGGGGCAGCAAAGTCATCTCCAACAGTGAGGTCTTGGGTTGGGGCGATGCCATTTGGAATGTGGACCAGCATATCCTTTTAGGTGAGTAACTACTCAAGTTAATGTGACCTTTTAAAGTGTAAACCAGTGAAAGTACCCACATCACTAGTAAGAAAACCAACAGTCAAGGGAAGAGCGTGCAGCTACACCTGACAGGGTTTTTGTTCTTTGGCGGAGTTTAATATTAAATAGGTCTCCTACCAGATGAGCAGCTGCCTGGCCTGCGGGGCTACCTATAGTTAATGAGTCCCAGACAGCTCATGCCTTTGCTCTGACCTCCAGCCCCTGTGGGATGGAAATGAGATCGAAGACAGGCAAAAGTAGGCTAAGATCCAGGGCAAAATAGAAACTTATTCAGGGGGTTCATTGTTGGACAGGAATTTGAAAAGGCATTGATTGAGAGAACCATTACTTCTTTCAGTTAAACTAGTTATTAGGGACCTATGAAGCTTGTGAAAGTTCTATTGAATACCTCCTTCAAGAGCCAGATTCTAACTCACCAGTATGGCTAAAATAAGGAAAGAAAAAAAAAGAAAAAAAATTAAAAAAAAAAAAAAAAAGAGCCAGAATTGGGTGTCTTAGGAAGTGGAATGTCTGTCTTGGTCACTGCCAGTAATATCCATAACTTCACAGGGAAAAAGGAAGGACTGTTCTAGCACGTCCTTGCATTGTGGCCTTAGTGTATGTGGAGATGTGTGGTTTTGATTAATATTTTGAGTAGCTACTTGCAAAGCAAGAGATTCCCAGAATCTTTTTTTTACTGTGAAGGGTATAATTTTTAGGTAATGGCCAAATAGTTGATAATAAATATGAAAATAGGACATTTACTGACCATGGCATCCAGTGCTAAGACAACCACCTAAAGTTTGGTCAAATGTGTTGATTTGGGGTCCTGTTCTCTATTACGGACATCTGGCTAAGGGATACCAACGTTGCAGTGAGCTCTATCACATAGGTGGTCAGCAGTGCCATTTGCATAGTCTACAAGCTCCAATTACTATGTAATCGTTGAACCCAAGGAAATTTCCAGGCAGTCAAAGAGTCTGCAGGAGAGATGACTTCCTTTAGCTCCCTGGCCCCTGGCAAAGGACTGGGGACAGGGGAAGCCATGCCCTCCTGCAGGTGGAATATACCAGAGGGCCCAGGTTTGGTTCCATCTTGTATCAAAGGCCCCAGTAGTGATGCCAAGCTTATGGGGTGATGCCAAGCTTATGGGGTGTTGTTCCCATGACACGCAGCATAATGGGCAGCTAGATATGGAGGGTCACAGGCTCAGGGTCTGTGAGAGCCTATTTTCAGAAGAGCCCAGTAGGTAGCCAGTCATTTGTTTATCATGAGGTACGGCACAAGACCAAGATGGTCAGTTTTTGTCTTGTTTTACTTCAGAAGCCCTGGAGCAAGTTATGACCCTCCTAAGTGGTTTAGAGACTCCAGGAGGCATGGGAAGATGCTTCCACAGCCTCTACAGTGAAGAAGCTTCTGAGGGCACTACCCGGAGTGCTGGTTGACTTTAGTTTGCAAGTAAAATTTGTAGATGAGGACTATGTTGCCACCAGAACCAAAAATGTACTGAAAGACATTTGTCTTCTATGTCCTTAATGAATGTCCTTGCTGGAGAACGTTCTCAATGTAATGCCATACCTGTGTCCCTAGGGAAAGGTGGATACCTTCAAGACCTTGCCTGCGAAGATTGTGGTGATGACAAAGTTGTTGAGGTCCCCTGGGGATATCCTGGAAAAAGTTGCTGTGTATTCAGAGGTGGCGGCAAACTTCAACTGAGAGGGTACTGAGCTAGGAACTGAACAGAAACATGTTAGGCAATCAGTAAGAGCAAATCTGTACTGGTTACTGATTAAATAGAATCAGGTATTGTAATAATATTGGGTATTGGGTACAGAAGCCTTGATAGATGGGACCATAGCATTAAGGTTGCTGTAATCCATCATGAGGCATCCTGTATTTTATTTTTTCAGATTCAAAAACAGCAAAAATTGGACCACCTAATGAAGCGATTAGTTTGCTGGAACTTTACAACATGAATTGGGACCTTTGAACAGTTTAGCCAATTTGACTCTGACCAGTGTTAAATTGATTATTTAGACCCTTTTCACATTCAGAATGACCAGTGATATATCTTGACTACAATAAACACATATTTTAGATAAGAATTTCTCTGTCTTATTTTCATGACTTCAGCCAAACCAACTATCTGAGGGCATAGAGAGTATATGGTCCACCAAAACAAGATCCTTAATAGCATTTCATTGAGCCAAGGAACACAAAAGGCAGCAAAGGAGGTGTGGAAGTGGGCTCATGACCTTGAGATCCACTGGTTTTTATAGCACCTTCCACGAGCCAGAAGTAGCCAGTCTTACAAAGCAATGGGACAGCCTTGTGAAAATATATCTGAGGAGCCAGTTTGCAAAGAATACTCTGCAAAGAAAGGAAACTATTTTCCAGGATGCAGTATTCATTCTAAATCAACGGTCACTATGTAGACCTTTAATCTAGAATAAATGATTCTGGAAACAAAATGGTAGAAGCTGAAATGGCTCCATTTACCAAACCCAGAGCTCAACTTAGAGACTATTTTCTTCCTGTCCCTGCAAATCAAAGCTTTTTGAGTAAAGAGGTCCTTGTATCCAGAATGGAAACAATTACCCAGGAGAAACAGAGAAAGCATCAAACATTAAATTATGCTAAAAGGCCAGCAGTCATAGAACGAAGTTACCAACCTGACTGGATTAAGAAATCTTGATCCTCAGCAGGAGGTAAGGCTGCTGTTTCCAGTTACCTACATGCGTTTTCTCTGCCATTGGTGTTTCACTGGGGCATTTCTTGTTAATTTCTTGCCTGGTTTTGGTGATAAAGGGACATGAGAAGTAGCCAGGACCTGAAAAGGGAATGGGGTAAGGGCTTCTGACCCATCAGAGATTAGGCTGCTCTTCCTGTGTAACACACTCGGAGTGGGCGGGGAATGTGGGGTGAGTTGTAGCGGAGCGAGATGTGTAACCCCTGTAACGCTGACGTCGTCTGTGACGCTGGCATCTGCAGTTCACCAGACTAACTTTCTCTTGTAAGTTTTCCCTTACGGTTCTGTTCTCTGGTGAGATCAAATGTACTAATTAGATGGAACAGTTAAACACAAGACGGGAACTGTAGTTGAAGCAATAGTACATCAACTCAATCCTCTTTCAGAACTGAGATGCTAATTCTGCCAACTGCTAGGAATTTTGACAGATGATGGCTCATAGCTGGATTCTATTCTTGGGGGAATTGTCTTTGGATGAAGAGAGGCCTCAAATTCACAAGGCACTCTCCTGAGGTGTAGCCTGTATCCAATGACTGGTCAATGTGGGTTACACGGGTTCCTTCTGTGGCTCAATTCCAGACTTTTCTAAAGGACCATCCCAGCATCACAACTTCCCATAGAATGGCTTGTGGCCTGTTTTGCAATGATATTATGATTCAACAGTTAGCTCTGACCCATCATACTTCCATCACATGCTTATATAAGAACGTGCCTTAGTAATCCTCTGCACCCAAATTTCTGCCTCAAAGTTTCTATCCCAACCAAGACAAATACTAATCTGTTCATGTGCCTACAGTTAAGCATCCCAAGATAGCATTAATACTGTTTCTTAATTTGAGGTTAGAGCCATATTAAATCAAGGTTACAATTTTGTTTTTCTGGCCTCATCATGTAAATAAGCAGAATCAACTAACTTCATGATAAATTGAGTTTAGAGTGCATAAAAATAGAGTTAAAAAATAAAGTGTAAGTTTTTTAGTTGCATAACTGGGCAGGTGGGATGACCCAGACAATTCACAGACAATAAGAGGAGCAAACAATAATAAGAGATAGAGCATGTGAAGAGACAGGAGCAAGGAGGTTGTTCTAGTCACTCCGAATATCTATGTTGTTGGCTCCATCTCCTCCATGCTCTATTTTAAAATCATGGCCCTAAGATCTCATCCTTGGCCCTGAAGATTTTGTCAATCACACAGCAAGAGAGAAAGGCCAAAACCAGCCTTATCTGATTCAGCCAGTGAAGATTCAATGGGCCACTTTTAGATCAAACAGTTTATTATTTACATACACAGCAAAAGGAAGAGTGGCCAAAGGTTCCATCTCTTTATAGCACAGTCATGCACCACATAGTAACGTTTCCGTCAACAACGTACTGCATATGCCATGGGGGTCCCGTAAGATTATGATGGAGCTGAAATATTCCTATCATCTAGTGATCGTGTAGCCATTATAACATCACAGCACAACGCATTACTAACATGTCTGTGGTGATGCTGGTGTAAACAAGCCTGCTACGCTGCCAGTCGCATAAAAATATAATGCACACAATTATGTATAATGTATAATATTTGATAATGATAATAAACAGCTATGTTACTGGTTTATGTATTTGCTATATTACACTCAGTACTTTTATCATTAGAGCACACTCCTTTTATTTACATATATATTTTTTTAAATATTTTTTAATTTTACATATTTTTTTTTTGAGACAGAGTCTCGCTTTGTTGCCCAGGCTAAAGTGAGTGCCGTGGCGTCAGGCTAGCTCACAGCAACCTCAAACTCCTGGGCTCAAGCAATCCTCCTGCCTCAGCCTCCCGAGTAGCTGGGACTACAGGCATGCGCCACCATGCCCGGCTAATTTTTTCTATATATTTTCAGTTGGCCAATTAATTTCTTTCTATTTACAGTAGAGACGGGGTCTTGCTCTTGCTCAGGCTGGTTTTGAACTCCTGACCTCGAGCAATCCACCCACCTCGGCCTCCCAGAGTGCTAGGATTACAGGCGTGAGCCACCGCGCCCGGCCTTATTTACATATATATATTTTTTAATTAACTATTATATAAAACAGCCTCAGGCAAGTCCTTTAGATATAATCCAGGAGGAGGAATTGGCATCGTAGGAAATGAGAGCTCCATGTGTGTTATTGGCCCTGAAGATCTTCCAGTAAGACAAGATGTGGACGTGCAACACAGAGATATTGATGATCCTGACCCCCCCGTGCAGGCCTAGGCTAATGTGGGTGCTTTGGTCATAGTTTTTTTTGCAAAAAAGCTTACAAAGTAAAAAGCAAAAAAATCAAATAGAAAAAAGCTTATTGAATAAGGCTATAAAGAAAGAAAATGTTTTTGTATAGCTATGCAATCTGTTTTTTTAAGGTAAATATTATTACAAAAGAGTCAAAAGGTTTAAAAGTTAAAAGTGTATAAAGTATGAGCGAATAAACAACCTACAGAATGGGAGAAAATATTTGCATGCTGTACATCCAATAAAGGGCTGATAACTAGACTCTGTAGAGAACCCAGGAAAATCAGCAAGAAAAGAAAAATGAGAAAAACCTCATTAAAAAGTGGTTGAGGCCGGGTGTGGTGGCTCACGCCTGTAATCCTAGCACTTTGGGAGGCCGAAGTGGGTGGATTGCTCGAGGTCAGGAGTTCGAAACCAGCCTGAGCAAGAGCAAGACCCCGTCTCTACCATAAATAGAAAGAAATTAATTGGCCAACTAACAATATATAGAAAAAGTTAGCTGGGCATGGTGGCGCATGCCTGTAGTCCCAGCTACCTGGGAGGCTGAGGCAGGAGGATTGCTTGAGCCCAGGAGTTTGAGGTTGCTGTGAGCTAGGCTGACGCCACGGCACTCACTCTAGCCTGGGCAACAAAGCAAGACTCTGTCTCAAAAAAAAAAAAGTGGTTGAACAGACACTTTGAAAAGAAGATAGACTTATGGCCAACAAACATATGAAAAAATGCTCAACATCTCTAATCATCAGGGAAATGCAAATGAAAACCACAATGAGATAGCACTTAACTCTAGTAAGAATGGCTTTTATCAAAAAGTCCTAAAACAACAAATGTTGGCAAGGATGTGGAGAGATAGGAACATTCATACACTGCTGGTGGGACTGCAAACTATGAATGGTAAACCTCTATGGAAAGTAGTATGGAGATACCTTAAAGAACTAAGGGTATAACTACCATTCGATCCAGCAATCCCACCTCTGGGTATCTACCCAAAGGAAAACAAGAAATTCTATAAAAAAAAAGACATCTGTACTCGAATGTTTATAGCAGCAAAGTTCACAATTGCAAAGATGTGGAAACAACTCAAGTGCCCATCAATACGTGAATGGATTAATAAAATGTGTTATATGTATGCCATGGAGTACTACTGAGGCATAAAAAAAATGGTGAACTACCTATTGTATTATCCTGGATAGAGCTGGAGCCCTTTCTTCTAAGTGAAGTATCACAAAAATGAAAAAACAAACACCACATGCACTCACCATTATATTGGTACCAATGGATCAACACTAATGTGCACATACGGGAAGTATCATTCATAGCGTGTCAGGCAGGTGGGAGGGGGGAGGAGAGGATGGGTAAATTCACACCTAACAGGTACATTGTGCACTGTCTAGGGGATGGGCACGCTTGTAGCTCTGACTTGGGTGGTGCAAATGCAATTTAGTAACCAAAGCCTTTGTATCCCTATAATACTCTGAAATTTAAAAAATAAGTTTATAAAGTTAATAGGTTACAGTGAGCTAAAGTTAATTGATTATTGAAGAAAAAATGTTTATAACTTTAGTGTAGCCTAAATGTACAGTGTTTATAAAGTCTATATTATTGTTAAATTTTAAAAAGATTTCATTGTAAACTATTAAAAATTATCTAAGTAAGATATATCTCTTTGACTTTAATAATAATAAAAAAAAGCAAACTATCTGATCCCCAAAGGTCCTTAGGCCTTCACATTCACTCACCGCCACTCATTCACAGATGCACCCAGAGCAACTTCCAGTCCTGCAAGCTCTATTCATGGGTAGTGCCCTGCACCAGTGTGCCATTTTCTATCTTTTACACCGTATTTTTACTGTACTATTTCTATGTTTAGGTATGTTCGGATCCTCAAACACGTACCGTTGTGTTGCAGTTGCCGGCAGTGTTCAGTACAGCAGCATGCTGTTCCCAGGTTTGCAGCCTGGGAGAAATAGGCTGTACCATATAGCTAGGTGTGTAGCAGGCTGTACCGTCTCGGTTTGTGTAAGCGCACTCTATAATTGCACAGTGACAAAAATGCCTAATGATGCATTTCTCAAAAATTATCCCTGTCGTTAAGCAGCGTGTGACTGTGTATATTTTATGATATCAGAGTGTGTTTATTTATGTACCTTTCCCTTACTCACTATAAGAACCTTCAAGACCTTATCTTATACTTACTGTATTCCTGGAAGGAGCAGAGAAAACATACTCACAAATGCCAGGTGAATGAGTCTACAAGCCTACAGAAATAAACCTCTGCACGAGGTTCACCACAGCTTACTCTCCCCCCTTCCCTACCCTCACTTCCTCCATTTAGAGTAACTTGTGTTCAAAGTGATTTTCTGGCATGATTGGACCTGAAGCAGAGAGTCACCTGTCAAAAGGGAAGAAGTGTACCGTTATATCGATTGCTTTAATTTACTTCAATTTACTTGTTTTCACTAATTTCATAAATCAAAATTCAGCACTATACAAGGAAGGCACTTTCTTTCAGTACTTTCCACAGGAAATTTTAAAAACCACTCTGACTCTCACAAAGTACATATACTGGAAAAACTGTAAGCCATATGACAGGTTTGTTTACAGAGAATGTGGAAATACAAGTCCAATTTTTTTATGTGCACTGACAACATAAATTTTACAATAGAACTTTTACAGTAGAACAAATTTTACAGTAGAACTTTAAACAAATTTTATTGTAAATGGTTGGAATATCTCGGCAGCATATTTTTCTGTGACTTTAATAAAAACAGCTAATTACCTGATGCCCAAATAACGTGTGTGACTGTCTTTCTCAGCTCTGCTGCACAGGAGAGGTGGCCCACTGGGGAGAAGGTAGGGGCAGGATCAACACACACTTGGTGTGGAAGGAAACATTTTCTCTCTTTGAACATACCTAGATGCAGTCATTTAGACACCTCTTGGAGATAATATGTTCAGCCTCAATGGCTTTTCAGGAACTCCTAGACCAAGTTGGGGGCCTGGGGAGATTTCAGATACTTCACATGGTTTTTCATATAATTTCTGGCCTTATAATTTGGCCTCATATTCAATTGGAGAACTTCACTGCAGCCGTCCCTGGTCATCGCTGCTGGGTCCACATCCTGGACAATGACACTGTCTCTCTCAATGACACTGGGGACCTCAGCCAAGACGCCCTCCTGAGAATCTCCATCCCATTGGACTCCAACCTGAGGCCGGAGAAGTGTCGTCGCTTCATCCATCCCCAGTGGGTTAGAGTTAGTCACCTGAATGTAACTTTCTCAAACATGAGTGAGCCAGACATGGAGCTCTGTGTGGACGGCTGGGTGTATGACCAAAACTCCTTCTCCACCACTCTGACTGAGGTAAGAAGCCCTATTTTCTTCTCATGAGTACATGACCTAGGTGTTTAGAAGTGACACAAGCAACACATGCTTCAGGCTAACTTTAGTCAGTAGGTGTAAGTGCTTATTCTTCATTCTTTCAGCAAATAATAATTTCTTCTCTATTAAATTTCAGACACCTGCATATTTAATGAGGCTAATGAGTTCAAAAGTAGACATGACCCCGCTATCATAGTGCTTTCATTCTTGGTAAGACCAAAGTTTAAGCAATTCACATATTTTCTTACAAATTTTATGGTAAGGCAGTTGGTGGTTGCAAATTAGAAGCATCTAGAAGGTTGATCAAAACCTCCATGCCCAGATGGTACCCAGACAGCCATCATAGGAGGAGATCTGCAATGATATTCAGGATTCAGAAAATTTGTAAAGGTTCTCAAATGATTGCACTCTGAGGACAAGTTTGAGAACCATTTAGTGTGGAGTAAAAGTGGCCATGACTATAACCCACAGGTTCAGGGGAAGCTTCCAAGGGAAAGTTACATTTAAGCTGAGACTTGAATGGCAACGGTCAGAGAATGTAGAAAAGGGAAGCCAGAGAGGGAGATCCAGGGGCCTGATATAATGAAACTTTCAGGTTGTGTTAAGGAGTTTTGATCAGTTTCCTCTTAGGAGTTACAGGCTAGCATGAAGCTCTACTATGCTGGTCTTTATTTCTTCCAGAGAGACCTGGTCTGTGGATCTCTGTCACTGAATTCAGTGGCTAGATTCCTGTTCACGGCTGGAATGGTTGTGGGAAATATCATACATGGCCATTTATCAGACAGGTGAGTGTCTCTGTTTCACATTTCTCTTTAGTAGTAGATATTTCCTTTAGCTTATGAATCTTTTGTTCATTAAGGAAATATTTATTGCAAATCACACTGTCCTGGAGCTACCTTGGGCCTCAGGAATCTAGAAACACAAATGGAAAATGACAGTCTGTGTGGCGAGGGTTAGTTTGTCAGCACTGAGTGCTGTGTACAAGACACAGAAATGATGTTTCCATTAGAGCTGGGGGCAATTCAGACCACGGTTTGAAAATGCGGTGCCAGAACATGTGTTTTAGAAATATGAAAATAGTTACTGTCTTCTTTTTCTGCTTCTATAATAAAATGTCACAGACTGGGTAATTTGCTAGGAAAAGAACTCATTTTTATCAAAAAGACACCTACGCTAGAATGTTTATTGCAGTACAATTCACAGTTGCAAAGATGTGGAATCAACCCAAGTGCCCATCAGTTCATGAGTGGTTTAGCAAAATGTGGTATATGCATATCATGGAGTACTACTCTGCTATGAAAAAGGATAAATTAATGTCTTTTGCAGCGATTTAGAAGGAAATGGAGACTGCTATCCTAAGCTAATTATCTCAAGAATGGAAAAACAAATACCACATGTACTCTCTAATAAATTGGAACTAACCAATGGGCACACATGTGCACAGAGGGAAGTAAAAGTCTTTGGAGGAGCTCTAAAAATGTTGGATTAGCAGTGACCTCTAGGCTCTCTGCTCCCAGAGTAGAAGGTGAAGAACTCGGACGGCTACACACAAGAGGATCGCTCCCTGCCAAGAACAGAGTTGGGAATCTGCAATGAAGCAGCGTGGGACAAGCAGCACAGGAATAACAAATAAAAAGAAGAAGTGAATGGAAGAGATGATCACAATGACTGGCAACTGCGAAATATACAATAGGGAATACAGCGTGGGACGGCTGTGCCTGCCCGGCCTGCCAGGGCAGTGTGATCTGACCCACAGGAGGACATTGGCTGACCAGCAGCTCTGGCCTGTCTAATGCAGAACCTGGGCTGCTGGGAGGATGCCCGGCCTGGGAGGTGCACCTGGGCATCGGCGGTCTCCATGCTGGTGGGACAGCTCCCATTTTTTATTGGGACAGCTACCTTCATATTGTTGCTTATTTTCCTTGACTTCTTTTGATCGTATATATTAGTAGTACTCTTGGTGGTGGCCCATCTCTTTTGCCCAAAGTATTGCTGTGTTTTATTAGCCATTGCCATAGGTTTCTTTCGGTCAGTCTTAGAACCAACATTTGTAAGCATATAAGAGCCACCAGACTGGACGGAGGTAGAAGTCGAACAGGGATGCGGTTTGTGGTTTTGAAAAGAAGTATATCCACACATAGTTTGATAACCCTCTCCTTAAAAGTCATAGCATAATTTTCCTCCCCTTGAGTGTGGGCTAGACTTAGAAACTTGCAAACTTGCTTCTGTATAACTGCACAAACCAGAAATGATGTGTGTGGCTTTGGAGACTAAGTCGTGAGAAGGTACTGCGACTCTTGGGTTATTTACTCCTGAGCAAGTAAGATGCCATGTCATGAGAACATTCCCTGAGGACAGACCCTTGTGGCAAGGAACTGAAGCCTCATTCCAACAACAGCCAGAGAGTGAGCCAACGCGCATTAGATCCTGCAGCACCAGTAAACTCTTTAGATAACTTCAATCCCCACTAACACCTTCACTGCAACATTGCAAAAGACCTTGAGCCAGAGGTATCCAGCTAAGTTGCTTCAGGATTCTTGACCCTCAGAAACTGTGTGAGGTAAATGTTTGTTGTATAAGCTTCTAGGTTTGGAGATGATTTATTTTGCAGCAACAGATAATTCATGTATATTTTTATACTGGGAGCAGAGTGCTGTCCTAACAAATAACTGCACGTGTGAAAGTGGTTTTGGAAGTAGGCAGTGGTCTGAAACTAAAAAGATTTTGATGAGAAAGTTATATACAGCTTGAACGGTCTTGAAGAAACTATTTTTAGAAGCATTATGTGATTTTTAGGCAGCTGTGGGTGAAGCTTAAAGTGATGTGAAAAACATGCTAGTGGGAACTGGAAGAAAAGCTTTCTTCTTTAGCAACATTCTTCCGTACAGTATGTGGAAAACAGAAAATATGCCTAACAAACTGGATGTTGTTGATACGGAGATTTCTGGGTAAAAATGCTGAAAATGCAGCCTGGTTTCAGCTTGCTACTTAGAGTAAAATGTAAGAATAGAAAGGTAAACTAAAAAAAGAACTAACTGTCAAACATGAAGAATCTGGGAGTTGCATGTTAAAACAATTCTTTGTTAAAATGTAATATCAGAACAGTGATGGCCCAGATTATTATTCAGTCCAACAAAAGACTCTCTAAATATTTTAATGATATGATTCTCAGATCTTTTCTTAAAAGAATAGTACTTTTAAGAAGCTTAAGGGCTTTCTTTCTTTCTTTCTTTCTTTCTTTCTTTCTTTCTTTCTTTCTTTCTTTCTTTCTTTCTAGTCTCACTCTGTTGCCCAGGCCAGAGTGCCGTGGCGTCAGCCTAACTCACAGCACCCTCAAACTCATGGGCTCAAGCAATCCTCCTGCCTCAGCCTCCCAAGTAGCTGGGACTACAGGCATGCGCCACCATGCCTGGCTAATTTTTTTCTATATATTTTTAGTTGACCAATCAATTTCATTCTATTTTTAGTAGAGATGGGGTCTCGCTCTTGCTCAGGCTTGTTTTTTTTGTTTGTTTTTTTTGTTTTTTCTTTTTTTTGAGGCAGAGTCTCGCTTTGTTGTCCAGGCTAGAGTGAGTGCCGTGGCATCAGCCTAGCTCACAGCAACCTCAAACTCCTGGGCTCAAGCGATCCTATTGCCTCAGCCTCTCGAGTAGCTGGGACTACAGGCATGTGCCACCATGCCCGGCCAATTAATTTATTTCTATTTATAGTAGAGATGGGGTCTCGCTCTTGCTCAGGCTGGTTTTGAACTCCTGACCTTGAGCAATCCGCCCGCCTCGGCCTCCCAGAGAGCTAGGATTACAGGCGTGAGCCACCGCACCCGGCTCTCAGGCTCGTTTTGAACTCCTGATCTTGAGCGATCCTCCTGCCTCGGCCTCTCAGAGTGCTAGGAATACTACTGTGTCCTACCCAAGGGTATTGTTTCTTGACCGAAGCATAACAAAGAGATGGGCTTGAGAAGATTTTTAAATATCTTTTGTTTAATGAGTGGACCTCCAATATGACTCACAGGAGACCCAGAAAATTTTTAATAGAATTGTATAAGGAGAAACCCTGTCACTTCGAACAGAAACTGACACATGAAAATGGACCATTCATAGGAAACAAAAATAGACAATTGGACCCCAATATATTACTGACAAGGATCAGGCCAAGAAAATTATGTCTTTAGTCATATGTTCATTTTCATGAAAATGGAAGAATAACTTATAAGGCAGAATGAAGAGCCTAAAGGATGCAGCCAGGAGCTATATAGAACAACTTCTAGGGAAGATATGGATGAGTCTTAATCATGGAGCCTACAACATTTGCCCAGCCTGATTTTAGAACTGCTATGGATCAGTCTTCTCTGTGCTTTGCATTTTCTCTCTTTGCATAGAGATGTCTATGCCCATCACTTCACGGAGTGATGTGTAGAGCATAGAAAGCTAATCTGTTTGGGTTGCAGGTCTACAGATAGAAAGGAACTGTACTTGAGAGCTATGTGTAAGCAAGTGCGTGGGAGCAGTCTCATCCCCACCTGGACCTGGTGTTTGCTAATCAAATACCAACGCCGAATCCCACCGTGCACCCCTCCACTCCCAGCAGGAATTTAGTCAGTTGACAGCCCTTCAGCTTAGATATTCCCCTGCACAAAAGTGAGGGAGCAGCCAAGTAAAGATGGCTGGAAAAGGCATGACTACATACCCAAGCTTCTAAGGCCTCAAATAGGCCAAGAGAACTGCGAAAGCTAAGAACTGATAACTTGAGTTTCAAGATTGCAAGGAGGGTGCACCCTAGTGGAAGATGGGATGAACTGCATCTTTGGGAAAAGTCCAGACCCACAGGAACTTCAGCAAGATGGCAGACAGACCAACAGTCACAGACCATGAGAGGATGAGCTGTATTGCTACAGATGCAAGCATAGGATGCAGGGTAGTGTTAGGCTGGACTCTACCTCCCTCCTGTGTGACTTAGATACCATCCTTGAGGAAAAAAAGAGAAGAAAATACTCTGAAATGGCTAAATTTAAACTTGAAATGACTGAGTTTATCACTGCCATCTGCCATCACAATTGGGACTCTAAATAGAGGTGATGTTATATTTTTCTAAGTTATATTTTTACACAGCCTAGTTACTTGGCATCCTGTCTGCTACATTTACATTGGTGAGTAAAATCCAAAATCCCAAAAAGGGAAATTGTTTTCATATTTGCCTATAGGATGGCATTGATAATATAAGGGAAGGACAGGCAATATTGTGGTTTTCTCTTGTGTGTGTGTCTCCTCCAGAGCCTTAATTTCTCAAGGAGTTTTCTTTCTTTCTTTTTTTTTCATTAAATCCCCAGAAACTAACACAGCGCTCAGAAAATGGTAGGGGTAGTGGATACTGTTGCATGCTGCCTGCAGGTATGGTGAACTGCCTGCCCCCCACTGCCTTCAGGACTGAAGGATGAGTTCTTCCAGCTGCCAAAAGAGTTGATGGCTGACAGCTCTCAACTGAGGACCTCTCTGGGAGGCTCAGCCCCTTCGTCCTTGGCAGCCTGCATCCACAGACTAGTAAACGGAGGGGTGTGAAAGACTGGCCCTCTTGCCTCAGTTCAGGACAGCTCTGTAAGGCCATCTCAGCTCCAGAGCTCTCTAGAGGCCTTTGCTGTGATTACATCACAGTTCAGCTTCTTCCTCTGCCCAAGCCTGTTCCTTCACTTCCCCTAGTAAACTTCATGCCCATAAACCTCAGCCTCAGAGTTTATTTCCCAGGGATCCTGACATGCAATGGTTAATTCTCTATAATGCTGGACTGAGGTGAAA